CCTGGAGAAAGAAGGGTCCTGGGAACTCTCCATGCTGCCTCTCTGAAAGGACGAGTGCACTTGGGTGGGGAGCTTGTGTTCGTCCGTTTTGCTGCGCCCTTGTCCCATGATCGGCCGGTGCCGGTGCCGGTCCCTGCCATCAGCTCCTGTACTCCTGTAACCCGTCAGCTTTCCCACTGCGGACGGCTCATGGCTTCTCTACTGGGGAACCTTTATCGGCTTATGACGTGGTTTGGTTCAGTTCTGTTTGTACCCCCTTTCAGTATTGTTCCCATCTTTGGAGATCAAATTTTTCTTTGGATGTAGGCCGTATTAACGTAATCCTGACAGTGTGTGTGTTGTAGGTGGTGTTCAGGCAAATCCCAAGCAGAGGAGTGCATGCATCACTTTTCAGATTTTTGCCGGAACCCCCCGAGGCTTGGTGCCATGTGCATCCCCACCAGCTCTGCATCAGCAGCCGGCTGCCTTTTGCCAAAAGGGGGGTCTAGGCCACGTTCTGAATTCATGCCAGTGTGATGGGTAAGAAACGCTATCTCAGCTGTGGTGACTGGCTGTGTCCTCACCAGGAGAGAAGCCAGGCCTCTCCATAGGTGTTTAGGGATCTAATGCACTTTTATTTGGTTTATATTTGTCTTTTTTTTTTTTTTTTAATAGCTTTCCTGAGGTGTAATTAACATTTAAGTGCTGCACATAAAGTGTCCAATTAGGTAAGTTGACATATGTGCACACCAGCGAGAGAGCCACAACCCAAACTGTCTTTGGTTTTCTCCTGATCCTTTGTAATCAGCACCCTCTCCCCGACTCGTCCTTGAAGAAGTGCAGCCGGAATGCTCCTTGGAAGCGAGCATGGCCAGACTTCATCTCAACCAAAACTTTGGTTATGTGTCGGAAGGCACCATTCCCTGGAGAAGGATGTCATGCTTTGTGAGTGGAGGGTCAGTGAAGAAGGGGAAGGCCCTCAGCAAGACGGACGACACAGTGGCTGTGGCGATGGGCTCGGTGCAGCAAAGGAGGTGGGGCTGGCGCCGGACCCGGCGGTGTTTCGTCCTGCCGCGAGGGGCGCTGCGAGTCAGAGACGACCTGAAGGCACCTCACTCACCAACAGCAGCACCTCCACCCCCGCCCGTCCTGTCGAGAGCAGTCGCTGCCCTACCTTCTGCCATCCCCGTTAAGTGGGTGTTTCCGAAGATTTATACAAATGGACCTATAGAATATGTCATTTGTTATTGGTCAGGCTTCTTTCACTCATGATTATGTTGAGGTTCATCCGTGCTGTGGGTTGTATCCGTAGTTAATTATGTTTATTGCTGCCTGGTATTCTGTCATAGGGACACACACACTTGGCTCATCCATTAATCTATTAATGTACACTTGGATTGTGTCCATTTTTTCTCTATTGTGTATACAGCTGCTATCAGCATTCATATTCAATTTTGGGCAAATTCTTCCATGTATCTTGGCTAAACGTGTCTTGGTGTGGAATGGCTGAGTCATGTGGCAGATGCGGGTTTAGTTTTGTAAGGAACTGTCAAACTGTTGGCCGGAACTGTACCATTTCACATCTCCACAGTGTGCGCGCACTCCAGTGGCTCCACGGCCCCTGTCAGCAGCATGGTCATATACACCGAGATCCCACTGTGCTGGTAGGTTCGTTTCCCTGGGACAAATGTCATCTCGGATGTGCTTTCTGCCATCTGTGTATTTGAGCAGAAAGAGCTGCTCAAGTCTTTGGCTCATTAAAAAAATTTAATTTTTACAAAACATGTAATTTTATTTACTTTGTTGCTGTTGAGGATATACACAGCAAAACATGCCCCGACAGCTGTTTCTGCATGTACCATTTAGTGACGATGATGACATTTTTCGAGTTGCTAACTATCCTCACCCCTTTTCTGAGCTGTCCCTCCCTCCCTGACATAAACTCATTGCCCCTAAGGCCCTGTCTTCTCTTTCGCATTGCCATCATCAATCTGATCCTGTGTGGCTAGTTTTTAAAAGAGCATAAAGTTTGGGGGAGACATTTTTTACTAGTTAGGCTAAACTATTGTTTGGTTTTAAGGAGACTTGAGGGCATAGTTTTGGTTTAAAGACTATCTCAGGGCATTGGTTTCAGGAATTTGTCCAGCCTCCATGGCTCCAGAAAGTCTGGATTCCATGAGAATTTGAAATTCTGTTCTGCCTTTTCCCCTTTGATCAGGATTCTTCTGTAGCACTGTCTCTGCACTGAATTGCCATTGTACTTTGTCAAAACTCGGTTGTCCATGTACATGAGAGTCAGTATCCAGACTGCTTTGCTCCGTCGAGCGGAGTACCTTAGAGAACTTCCTCTCACCATTCTTAGAGTCAGTATTCTGACCACACACTCTTAGTTTTCATTCAACAGAGAATGCCTTGATTTCCCCTTCATCCCTGAAGGATATTTTCATTGGGCATATGACTCTGGGTGGGGCGTTTGCTCTTCAGCACTTGAAGAATGCTGTGCCACGTCCTTCTGCCCTGTACAGGCTCTGGCAAGGATTTCCTGCGACTCCAGCAGAGGGAAGGAGGGCAGAAAGTGGGAACAAGGGGGACACCGTGTGGGGATCACAGTAAATGGCACAGATGCGTGTGCATTGCTGACCAGAAACCTGGTTTGCTCCGTGGACTTTCACCCCAATCAATCTCACGAGTGGCTTTTCCCTGTAGGGAAAACATGACTTCTCTGCCTTTGAGATTGGTTTTCAGCTGTTGGCAGTTGGGCTGTAATGTGTCTTGGTGTGGATTATTTCAGGCTTGTCCTGTTTGGAGTTTACTTGGCTTTTGGCATCTGCAGATTTATGTCTTTGGCCACATTTGGGGGAATCTTTCAGTCCTATTTTTCCTGAGAGGTGTTGTCAGCCCCATCTGCATCCTCCTGTCTGGGGTGCCAGTGGCACGAATGTTGTCTTTTGTAAATCTCGTTTGCTGTTGCTCAGACTGGGTAATTCCTAGTGTCCTCGAGTTAACTTTTCGCCCCTCTGTCTGTGGTTGAGCCCACCCGCTGAGCATGTTACCTTCTTCAGTCCCCAAATGCCTGCCCTTCTCTTCATCATGGTTTTGTGGAGGCTGCTTCCAGATCTGTCAGGTGTTCCCAACATGTCACCTGTCTTTTCTTCCCCACCTCTTACTGACAAGTGACTTTTTAAGTTGGAACCTGGGTGTTTTGGGTATTATGTTTTTGAGTCTGGATCTTAAACCTTCCATTTGAGCTGGCCTCTCCCAGTACAGGGAGAGGCTGGGTGCTGCCTCCTTACTGTGGGCGTGGGCTCAGTCCGGGTTCCAGGAGCCTGGTTTCCGCTGCACGTGTTACCGCAGACATGGAGGGAAACGCTAATGCCGGCAGGATGGTGAAGGAAGGACTTTTATTTGTGCCAGCACCAGACTCAGTGGGTTCACATCTAGAGGCTGAGCCCTGAACATAGGCCGTGGTGGTTTTTGTAAGTTCTTGTTTCCGGGCCTTATGGGGTGTGAGGCAATTGGTTACTTTTGAAGGACACTAGTTAGCAGTTTCATAGGAGCAGAAGCGCATGAAGGGAAGAAGTGTGTGTGTGGGGTACCAGTGGAAGAATTTCCCACCCTGTTTTACAAGTTGGGTTATGTCCTGCCTCACACTGAGTGGGAGTACCCCCTGCTACACAGTACTGGTTGGAAGGGGTAATCCTCCTTACTGTCCCCCTGAAACCAGGGGGTAAAGGTCAGCTCTCCATTGGACTGGGCATTTTACTACATCCTATAAAGGTGGCTCTGGTAGCGTAGTGGCTAAGGCACTTGACTGCTAACCAGAAGGCTGGCGGTTCAAACTCACCAGCCACTCCCCGGAAGGAAGATGGGGCAATCTACTTCCGTAGTGATACTGCCCTGGAAACCCAAGGAGGGGTCGCTATGGGTTGGGTCTGCCTCAACGGCACAGAACAACATAAAGGTGGACAGTCAACACTTTCCCTGGCCCTATCCTGGTGTGGGCTGGGGGTCGGGGCATATTTTTCTCCTGGTGTTCACCTAGGCTCAGGCTTATCTGGAAGTCCCAGGCCCTCCCACCATTATTGGTCCGTGGGGTATGGCTGCTTCAGCTCCCACCATGCTGTCTGCAGGCAGCATGCTATGCTCTGGAGCCGCCCAGCTGGGTCTCATCCTGACTACCATCCGCCAGCTGGTATGACGTGGGACACCCACAGCCTGAGGCCAGAGAGTAGACACAACAGAGGCAGAGCTGACATCCAGTTTAATGGGAAAGTTCGGGAGGACAGGACATTGGGGCAGCGGTCCACCAAGGTGGTGTAAAAATGAGACGGGGTCCAGGCGAACCTTTACGTGACGGCTACGGTGAGGTTCTGAACTCCGAGCAGCAGTTTGAGTCTGAATCATGTTCTTGAGAAACAGAAACACTCTTCTCTCATACGCATATACACACACACACACACACACACACACACACACGCGCGGTGTTCCAGGTGCCTCCACAGGGGCCAGGCCAGCTTGGCTGGGGGCCGCACGCCGACCAGCTCCTGCATCATGGGTGTGGCCAGGGCACCGGGGCTAGGGCCCACGACCTGGGACCTGCCATGCAGGGCCCGAGGGCCACTGCCAGTATCTCCTGGGCGTGGACGAGACCACCGGGCAGTTCTCCCAGTAGAGCAATAAATACGAGAACCCGAACGGAGAGACAACAGACGAACCCACAACAAAAAGGCTCAGCCCGGCTCCCTCGGGCCTCAGCAGACCCTTCACAGACCAGGCAGCTCTCCGGGTCGGCCAGCTGGCCCATGCAGCGTGGGAGCAGTCCTACTGCTAGCGGTGGCCGGGGCGGCTGTGGGTGCATCAAGGCAATGGTGTGGGCCCGGGACAGCAACAGGTTAGGGCCGTGGGGCGGGGTCCCACCTGCAGGACCCTCCCCAGCCCTTCACGGCCTGGGTGTGGTGGTGGGGGGTAGGGTGGGTGGTGGAAGCCGTTGGACGGGGTGTCGACTGAGAGGCGCGGGGTGGCTAGCCTTCCCGCACACTGACCCGCGGCTCGGCCAGGGAGCTGTGGATGATGCTGACGACGGCCTCCAGGCCACTGCCCTCCAGCAGGCTCCGGTGGTCGCCCTCGATGACGTGCACAGACACCTTGCCGTCACACACCTGGGACAGGTTGTAGTCGGCACCCAGATCGTTGCCGTAGGTGCCGCCGGTCTTGGCGCGCAGCAGCGTGACGTTGCCGTGGTACTTGGCCTTGGGCGCGTACTGCTCGGCTGCACGCAGCTTGTGGTAGAAGGAGAAGGCTGCGAAGCTGAGCTCCTGGCGGTCGATGCCGCGGTGGCTCTGAGCGATGAGGTCCACCGCGGCCGTCACGCGCTGCTCCAGGTCCTTCAAGGGCAGCAGCACCTCCAGCACCTGTGGGGACAGGCTCTCAGGGCAGGGCTGCAGGGGGCACACCCAGACTAGCCCCGGCACCCAGGGCCCTGGACGTACCCTGCTGTGCTCCACATCCGTGAACTGCTGCACGAAGAAGCAGATGGCTTCAGCCTCGGCCTCAGCCTCGCAGCCCGGGGTCATCTTGGCCCTGTAGCTCTGCAAACGGGGGGTGTGCTTCAGGCCAGTGGGTGGCCCAAGGGAGAGCAGAGGGGGCAGACCCTGGCCCGAGAGCCCCGCCTCACCTGGGTGTAGGCCACCACGTAGGAGTGGGAGCCGTCAAACAGGAAGAGGCTGTTGTGGGCGAGGCCCTGCTGTGCTTGGAGCTGGGAGCACATCTCGAAGGCCACACAGGCCCCGTAGGAGTAGCCGGCAATGCGGTAAGGGCCCTCAGGCTGCACCTGCCGGATGCAGTCCACGTAGTAGGCGGCCAAGCTCTGGATGCTGTCCAGGGGTGCGGCTGTGAAGGTAGGGGGTGCTCAGCGTGGCAGCCGCGGTGCCCCAGGCAGGGGCTGGGCCGTCCCCTGGCCCTGTGCCCCCACCCCACCCGCACCTCGAGTGCACTGCAGGCCATAGGTGGGGATGCTCAGCCTGGCTGCCAGGCTGTGGAACACGGCGATGGAGCCCTCGATAGGGTGCACCAGGAAGAGGGGCCGTTCGGAGCTCTGCACAGTGTTGAGTCGCGTCAGCGTCGGGGCCTCAGGGTTCACTAGCAGCGTGCTCAGGTTCAGCTGCGCCTGCTGCTGGGCCTCCAAGCTGTCCTCCTTGACCCCAGGGGATGCCAGGGCTGTGACAGAAGGAGGAGCTAGGTGAAGGCCGGCCACACGGCATCTTCCACACAGACACACATGTGCACAGGCACACGTGCACACAAGCTTCACCCGAGAGGCTTGCTGAGCGTGAGGAGCGTGTGCGTTTAGGAAGGAGCAGAGATGGGGGTTGGCAGTCAGTGGGGGAGGAACTGGGCCACCCACCCAGGGGAAGAACAGGGGCAGGCCCGCTAGGGACGCCGTGTCCCGCCCTCGCCACCCTGGTCCCACACACACCCTTGGGGGCCTGTGACGAGAGCTCCTTCAGCTTGTGTATGGTCAGCAGCCGAACCTCACGCATGGGCAACACCAGGTCGTGTTCCCGCTCCAGCAACTGCCGCACCTCTACACCCATGAGCGAGTCCAGGCCCAGGTCTGCCAGTGAGCTGTCGGGGTTGATGGACGCCAGGTCGCGGATCCCTAGGGAGCCAGGCCATGGTGGGGATCAGGCTGGTGCAGGCACCATGGTGACCAGGCCCATGCTGGACAGGCCCCTGGTGCCTGCCTGGGGGACTCGGAGGCCTCTCCCTGGGCCCTGCCTGTGGTACTCACCCAGGATGTGTGCCACGGCCCCCACCAAGTCCTGCTGGCCGTCCCCTTCGCTGCGCCCTGTGGCCTTCTCGGCCAGCACAAAGCTGCTCAGCACGGGGTAGGGCTGGTTCAGGAACAGGTCAAACACCTCCAGGCAGGAGACAATGCGCTGGGGCAGGGTGCCTCCGATGACCGTGTCTTTCATACCCATCATCTCCATGACGACACCCACGTCGCCAATGGCGCCCCACTGCACGGCCAAGCCTGTGGGTGGGACCGTGGGTGAGTCAGGGACGGGTGTGGGTGTGGGCTGGGCCAGGCGGGGGTGGCAGCCCACCTGGGAGGCCGTCATGCTGGCGCTGCTCACAGATGCGCTCCATGGCAGAGTTGGCAAAGCCGTAGTTGCTCTGACCGGCATTGCCACGTCCGCCACTCACGGATGAGAAGACCACAAAGTAGTCCAGCTTGGGGCAGGCTTCCCGGGTCACCCTGTGGGGTGGGGTGTGTGTCAGCCCATTCCGCAAGCCCCCCCTCCCAGGACCCAGGCTTGGCCAGTGAGGCGTGAACAGTGTGGGGGGACCGTGTGTGCCCACCTGTCCAGGTTCAGCGTCCCACTGTACTTGGGGCTGATCACGTCCTGGAAGAACTCGGGGCTCTGGTTCTCCAGCATGGCATCTCTCAGCACCTGGGGGAGCGGGTGGGCCCCTCAGCACCAGCTCAGCCAGGCCCTACTGCCACCTGCTCCACTCCAGGCCCTGAGGGCCGGACTCACCATGGCCAGGTGGAAGACGCCCCCAACAGTTCCGAGCTGTGTAGCCTCTGCGATCAGACCGCGCGCGCCCTCCAGCGTGCTGGCGTTGCTGGTGCACACGAGCACCTGGACGCCCTGGCGCCTCCACTCACGGACCTGCTTGGCCTGGTAGCCTGTGGGGGTACGGGTGCTGGGTCAGCCAGCACGACCGCCGCCCTCACTGAGCCCGCCTGGACACGGGGCTCCTGGGCTGCAGGACCAGGGACGGGCGCTCGCGATCCCACCGTTCCCCACCCCCCCTACCTGTCCGGATCCCTGAGCGGGAGGTCAGCACTAGCTTCTGGGCTCCCCGTAGCACGAGCCACTGGGCCAGCTCGAGGCCAAAGCCACCCAGGCCGCCAGTGATGATGTAGCTCTTGTGAGCTGAGCAAAATGTCTTGGAAATGGCCGTGGTCAGGACTGGTGGGACGTCCTGTGGCACCACGCCCTGCTCCTCCTTGTGTACCTGCAGGCCGGCAGCACCACTTGCTTTGGGAAGTGCCCCGAGGAGCCCGCCCGCTGCTCCCCGCCCACTGCAACTCGTCTCACCTGGACCACCACCTTGCCGATGTGCTTGCCCTGCGCCATGTAGCGGAAAGCTTCCTCCACCTGGTCCTTGGCGAACAAGGTGCACTTGAGGGGCTGCACCACACCGTTGCGGATGCCCGCCCGAAGCAGTTCGGCCACCTCATGCCAGTCGGCCCCAGCTTCCTCGAAGAGTGCGTCCAGCAAGACGCCATGGAAGGTCACATTCTTCAGGAAGACGGCCATACCTGAGGGTGAGAGGCAGGCTCGCTCAGGACTTCTGGCACCCTCCCAACCCCCGCCCTGCCGAACCCCCTGCTCCCGCCTAGTTCATCCAGGCCTCACCCAGTGCGTGGTTGTTGGCCAAGTCGAACTTGCCAATTTCGAGGAAGCGGCCGTGCTGTGCCAGGCACCGCACACTGGCCTGCAGCTTCTCCTCCGCCAGGGAGTTCAGGACCAGGTCAACGCCTGGGGGACAGGCAAAGGGGCTCTTAGGGTCTGCCTGCCACCCAGCCCACCGTCCCTCCAGGGCATCACCTCCAGCTGGGGAGGGGATGTGGGCTCACCTCGCCCGGCCGTTTGCCGCAGCACATGCTGTTCAAAGGACGTGTCTCGGGAGTTGGCGAAGCTGTCCTCACCAAGCTGCGGGAAGCGGGCCTGCAGATACGCACGCTTCTCGGCCGACCCCACGGTGGTGAAGACGCGGCAGCCCAGGCTGAGGGCGATGCTGATGGCCGCCTGGCCCACGCCGCCCGAGCCCGAGTGCACGAGCACGGTCTCGCCACGCCGAATGCGCCCGCGCACCACCAGCGAGTAGTACGCTGTCGTGTAGACCACTGGCACCGAGGCCGCTTCCTCCAGGGTCCTGCAGGCACACAGGCAGCAGGTCAGCTGAGGCTGAGCACCGAGGGCCTCAGGCTGCCCTAAGGTGCCGACACTCACCAGCCAGGGGGCACGTCCCACAGGAAGTCGGAGGACAGGAGGACAGAGGTGGCGAGGCCCTCTGCAGGCACCAGCCCCATCACGCGCTTGCCGCTGCTATCCCGGCCGGAGAACTCCATACCCAGCATGCAGTCGTGGGTGGCGAACTTGCCTAGAGGGGGGTCGAGTGAGCCCCAGCTCCCCTGCCCCACGAGCCCTGCCCTCCCTGGTGCGTTTGCCTCCCAGGGGCAGAGGGCACTGATCAAGCCCAGCTCAGCTGGCTGTGTACCTGGGATGGAGTCGGGTGAGAGCTTGCCCGTGGCCAGCATGATGTCACGGAAGTTGAGTGAGGCGTAATAGACGCGGCAGAGCTGGGTGCCGGGGGTGGAGGGACCGGCATGGCGGAGCGGGGAGCACACCCAACGGATGGAAGAGAGGTCTCCGCGCGTCAGCACGTTTACAAAGGCGTGTTCTGTCTGCTCCTCTGGCTTGCCTGCAGAAATCAGAGGCCAAACTGCTGGGGGCCTGGGCCAGGGGGGCTGGCAAGGTGGGGGAGCCCGGTGGGAGGCACAGGGGCTCACCTTGCTCCAGTGGGAAGTGGCGGAAGGCCCCCCAAGCACCATCGCGATAGACGTTCATCACTAGGTCCTTCTGCAGCAATTTCTGCAGCTCGGGGGAGCCTGGGTCCATTGAGGGCACAGGGGACGTGCTGCTGAGGTTGGACACCAGAATGCACCTGTGGGCAGCACGGGGGGTGAGGGGCAGGAAGGAGAATGGGCACGTGGGGAGAGGGAGGAGCATGGGGAGGTGCGGAGAGGGGGGACGAAAGGGACCCTACCGCACACGGTGGCCCCCAGGCTCCTTGCGCAAACAGTTCACCAGGCCCAAGATGCCCGAGGTGGCACAACGGATGGCCGTCAGCCACACGGGCCGGGGGAAGTTGTCGGCCATGATGCTCTGCAAGGAGGTGGGAAGGGTCAGTCTCGGGCAGTGCAGCTGGATGGTCCCGGGGCTGGGGCGGCAGGGCTCGGGCTCTGACTCTGACCTTCAAGGAGTTCACCCACTGGAAGCTGGGGTCCTCCACGGGAAGAAAGATGGGACTGTCTGGGGGGGCTAGCCGGCGGCACAGGAAGAGCACGGAGCCGTAGAAGGAGCGCTTCAGGCCCACGAGGCACAGCGCGGCCTTGGTGAGGAGGCCCTCCCACTCGTCCTGCAGGCATGGGCACAGTCAGGGGCTGCGCTGTGCGGCTCCGGGCCCCGCCCCCACCCCCGTGCAGCCCATACCTGGCTCAGGAGCTTGGTGGCAGTGAGGAAGGCCACAGTTTCCCCGAGTGTGTGTCCACTGAGCATGGTATGTAGCAGCAGGAAGCCACCCTCCTTGAGGGCCGCCGCCATGTTACTGAGGGCTGTGGCGGGGTCGCCGAGATGGGCCACGGTGCAGTTGCACACTAAGAGGTCAGCTGTGCCCAAGCTGCTGGGCGCAGGCTCCAACGGGTCCCACTGCACCTGGGCCACGTCGGGCTGCTGCAGCTGGGGCAGCTCGTAGCGGTCAGTGGCCGTGTAGTCCAGCTTCAGCAGAGGCTGGGTGTGGAGTAGTGTCGGGATCCGGCTGTACAGGCGGCCCTCCCCAGCCAGCACCTGTGGGGGCGTGGACACCGGATGACGACTCGGCGCTCAGGCAGCTATGCCACGTGGTCACCAGGGTGGGTCTCCCCTGACGATGACAGAGCAGTAGCACCTAGCCACCCTCTTGGTTCAAGCGGTGCCTGTTGCTGGGACCGTGCCTATGTGTGTACCCACCTCTACCACCTTCATCTGTGGGCTGCTCAAGTTCTCCAGGGCCGTGTCCACACAGGCCTTGAGTGCCGGTCCATCCAGAAGGCCAGCGAGCAGGGGGTCGTCAGCCAGCGTGAGGCGCTCCTGGGCCAGGGTTGGGCCCAGCTCCAGCTGTAGGTTCCCGTTCAGCTGGAGCTGGCACGCGGCCGCCAATAGCCTCGCCAGACCGTGCTGCGGAGGGTCCCGGGGGGCTGCAGCCCCAGCCAGGCCAGGTACGGCCATCTTTAGCCCCTGGTGGGCTGCCTTGGCCTGCAGCGTCTGCGCCAGCCCTGGGGACACAGAGCCGGGCTCTGAGACCTCAGTCTGCAGGCCTGGGAGATGGGTGGGGAGGGAGTGCGGGCTGGGGTCTCGGGGCTGGGGTCCCAGGGCTGGCTGGCTTCACCTGTACATAGACGCAGCTCTGCCCGCAGGGCCTCGCTGTCCGCCAGGCACTCGGTCTCCAGGTGTGGTGTGAAGCAGAACTTCTCCAGGACCGGCGTGAGCTGCTCCTGCTGTCGCCGTGGAGCCAGTGAGGAGTGCAGCCTCGAGATGACGGCCCCGCCCGCCGCCACGCTGCGCAGGTAGCTGTTCACCACCACGGCCGCTGCGGGGCTGGGGGCGGGGCCACCTTGGGCCGCATCCTGCAGCCTCTGCTGGTGGGTGAGGGGGTCGATGTGGATGGCGCCCAGGCGGGTGGGCATGACCAGGCTTCGCTGGGCGGAGCCCAAGATGGACATCTGCAGCATGGCATCCAGGAAGGTCACCCAGTTGTCCTTCCACAGCAGCTTCCCCGTGGCGCCTGCAGGGAGCCAGAGTCACACTCGTCCTTGGGCCCACCCTCACGTGCCCTGGCTCTGGGGCCCACTGTGGCCCGCCGGCGTCCACAGCGACCCACCGCTCAGATCGGCCTCGAGGATGCCCTGGAAGTGGGGGCCATAGTCATAGCCACGCAGCCGTAGCTCCTTGTACGTGTCGCCCTGGGTCAGGTGGTACATGGCCACAGGGTCTGTGGGGTCTGCAGGAGCCAGGCCGTCCTGGTTGTCGAAGACTCTGGGGTCGGGATTCTCCCAGCGGTACACCTTTCCTGTGGGTGGTGCAGCAGGGAGGGTCTCAGGGCCACAACTGCCCTGAGGGCCAGGCCCAGCTCCCCCACGGCTCCACGGCCCCAACTCACCACTGACTATCAGGTTACCCCCCTCGCACACCTCAAAGGTGCAGGAGGCCTCCAGGAGCCGCACCTCCAAGGACACGGTCCCTACAGACAGTGGACAGAGTTCAGCATGGCCCTCCACCCTGGGCCGCCCCACAACCCCTGCCCTGTGCTGGCCATGGCTCACCCGTCTTGGGCAGGATGGTGGCCTGGTGCAGGACCACGTCCTCAAACACTATGGGCATCTGATCCATGACCAGGCCTAGGGTGCGGGCCAGCGTCTTCCAGACCAAGTACACATAGCCGGTGGCAGGGAAGATGACACGTCCGTTGATGCAGTGGTCCACCAGGTAGTGGTCAAGGGACTCGGGGCTGACATCTGCAGAATATAGGCCTCAGTCTTCCGCCCCCCAACCCCTTCTCCCAGCTGCCAGCCCGCCCTCCGTCTGCCCGCTCCCCACCTGCCCACCCGCCATCCCGTACCAATGTTGTAGATGGTGGCTGAAGAGGAGCCGGAGCCACTGGGGAAGTCCTCGGCCGCGGGCACGTCCCAGGTCTGGCTGTGGTCCCACTTGATGAGGGGGGAGATGAGCGGGGTACCCCGCGGGGCCGGGAACTCCATGGGCGGGAACAGGCCGTTGGGGTTGACGTCAATGCTGGTGGGGGAAGGCAGTGAACTCTGGAGACCCCCATGGACCTCCACTTCCAACTGTCTCCCCTAAGACTTGTGGAAACTGCCCAAATGGGGTGCTGAGAGGGTGGTGGTGGGGAACAGGGCCATCCAAGATTTTTCCCCACCCACAGCAGGATCACTGCAGGTGCCTGGGCCCTGGGGGCCCTCTAGTTGGCGAGCCCAATAGCCAATTACATGCCCTGCTGCTTCTCCTCCTGCGTGGGGAGCTTTGGATCTTCCTAGTGGAGCCAGGCCACACCCGTCTGGTGGTGCAGGGGTGGCTCAGGGAGAGGGGCAGGCAGCTGTGGGCAGGGCGGGGCCTACCCGGAGAGGTGGAGCTTGCCGATGCTGGTAAGGAAGTAGTCCAGGTTGTCCTCGTGGTTCTTCTTCATCAGCGGGATAATGGTGCAGGTGGACTTGAGGCCTCGCTTTAGGACGGCCTGGGGGACAGAGGCAGGCTGAGGCTCCTCCCAACAGCACCCACCCTCCTCGCTCCTTACCGTCCCTCTTTGCTGATGCAGGCCGGGCCCAGGCCCAGGCCTCTGATGCCCTGCCCTCACTCAGCGCACCTGCAGCAGTCCGTGGGGCGCGATCTCCAGCACCACGGCGTGCTCGGGCACGTGCCACAGCGCCTCCTGGAACAGCACGGGGCTCACGAGGTTGTTGACGTTATACTCGGCCGAGAATGTGCGCGCCAGGCTGTTCTGCCACTGGGCCTCGGGGATGGAGGTGCTGAGCCAGCGTGGCGAGCGTGGACGTGGCTGCCGGATCACCTGCGAGAGGCACGGCTCAGCGGGGAGCGGCCACAGCCGCAGCCCTGCCGCCCCTGCAGGGTGGGAGCTGGGCCTGCAGCCCTGGGGCGGTGCCCACCTTCTTTAGCGCCTGCAGCAGTGGGGTCGCGATGGAGTCCATGAAATAGGAGTGGAAGGCCATGCCTCCTGTCCGCACCTCCTTGGCAAACACGCCCTCCTGCTTCAGCTGCTCCACGAACTCAGCCACGGAGTCCTGCGAAAGGGCCGCATCAGGGTGGGGCCAGCTTCTGGTAGCACTGCCTCCCCACCCTGGGCAGCTGGGACCCAGCAGGGCACGCGACACTTGCACCCTAGTCTCCGTGGGGAGCCCTGGGTGTGCCCCTGGTGGGAGTGTCATGATATGTGCCTGGGGCCCCACCATGGCCACAGTACCCACCTGAGGCCCTGAGATGGTGACCGTGTCCTTGGAGTTATGGCAGGCGGGCACCACACCAGGGGGGCAGCGCTCCTTGCACTCAGCCCAGGACAGGCCTGTGGGTAGAGACACCAAAACCTCTGCTGTGCGAACTTTCCGAGTCCCCTCTCTTGGATTTGGAGCCCAGTACTGACACCCCTGTGCACCAGAGCTCCTGGAGGAGGTCGGCCCGCCAGCAGTGCCAGGTGGCCGTGGCCCCGTCTGTTCTCCCTGTGGGCCTCCCGGGGACTCGGGACCTGCACTGGGGGCGGGGGGGCACCAAGAAGGCTGCCCAAGAGCTGAGGGTGGGGCTGCAGCGCAACGCCTACCCACGGCCGCCATGGCGCCTGGCGGGATGTTGGCCTCCTTGATGCACTGGCCCCTCCAGTATGTGGCCAGCATGGCCTCTTCCTGCGACACGCAGCCGTCGGCATAGCTGCAGGCCACCTCGCCCAGGGAGTGCCCGATGATGCCATCCGGCTGCAGCCCCATGGCAGTCAGCAGGTCAATGAGCGCGATCTGGGGGCAAGAGCACGGTGCTCACTGGGCTGCTCCAGAAGCCACAGCTGTGCCCGCAGCAGCCCATGGGCTCCACGCACCTGGATGGCAGTGAGGCTGACAAAGGCTTGCGTGATGTCATCAAACGTGCTCTCGTCTGCACGCAGCAGCAGGTCCAACACCTTCAGACCATATGGCTTTATGGCTTCGTCTGAGCGCAGAATGGACTCACGGAAGCTGTCCAGACGCATGAGGCTCTGCCCCATGCCGCACCACTGCGTGCCCATGCCTGGGCGGCAGAGGGTTGGGTCAGCGGGCAGCCTGGCTCAGCCTGCCAGCTGGCCCCCCAAACAAGGGAAAGGGACGGGGCTCACCGGAGCAGATGAACCAGAGCGGGCGGTGGCCGGCGGGCGCCTGCTGCACCTCCTGGCCTCCAAGCCGGCTGCCCAGGACCGTGTAGCCGCGGAAGGGCATGGCGGAGGCCGGGGTGCCTGCGATATCGTTGAGCAAGCTGAGGAAGGCCAGGTCCTGGCTGTGCCTCTGGCCCTGCTCCAGGAGGTTCTGCACGGCTTCGGGGCTGCGCCCACTGGCCCGGAGCAGCTGGGGCAGGGCAGGTGGGGCAGGCGCGTGGGGCGGCCTGGCGTTGGGCTGCAGGAGGACGTGCACGTTGGCGCCCCCGAAGCCGAAGGAGCTGATGCCCACGATGCCGCCGCCAACTGGGAGGGGCCGATCCACGACCTGCAGCCGCCCGTCCTGCAGTGCTGGGATCTCAGGATTGGGCTTCTGGAAGTGCAGGTTGGGAGCCCACAGCCCGTGCTCCAGGGACAGCAGCACCTGTGGGCGGGAAGGCACACGGGCCGCCGGCCCCCAGCTCAGGTCCTCCCCACCACCCCGTCTCGCCTGGGACCACTGGTAGGGACAGGTGGCTGTGATGCGGGTTCTATCCAACACGCAGCACCAGTGACAGGCTTGTGCCCAGGATCGGCCATGCTTTCCGTGAGGACCTGCCCACTCCCCACAGAAGCCCACCCAGCAGGCTGGCTGTGCACACATGCCACCAGGGCAGTCGAGATGGGCACAGCAGGGCTCTGGGCAACTGGGGGGTCCTCTGGGGCCTGGTGCCCTACCATAGTCAGGAAGCCCTCGGGAGGGATGGGCGGGCAGACGTTTCCCCCAGCCCACAACAGACACACTCAGCTAAAGCGTGCCTGCTGGCCGGCCCCCGCCCCCGACCTGTGGGGTCCTCTTGCCCGAGTGTTGCTTCCCACACGGACGTCGGAGGGCCTTGCCCCATCGTCTGGCCTCAGCCTCCACCAGGTGGGAGTCCGGCCCTACCTTGGCCAGGGCTGCGAGTCCTGAAGCAGGCTCGGGATGCCCCATGTTGGACTTGGTCGACCCGATCAGCAGCGGGCTCTGGCGGTTGGCACACAGGGCCTGGTCGATGCTGTTGAGCTCCAGGGGGTCCCCCACCTTCAGGGAGAGGAGGGGTTCATGGCTCCATGCCCCAATCTCGGCCAGGTGGGTGGGGGGGGCAGACGGAGCCTCACCTTGGTGCCAGTGCCGTGGGCTTCGATGTACTCCAGGGACTCAGGGGCCACCCCGGCCACCTTGCACACAGAGCGGATGAGCTCCTCCTGGGCCTTTCCGGAGGGGTAGGTCACACCTGTAGGAGACGTGCCTCATTCCACGGTCCCAGGGGGTGGTGGTCCCCCGGGCCTTCCGGGGCACCGTCCCCCGGGCCCACCTTGCTCCTTGTAGCCATCAGTGTTGGTGCCCGCATTCAGGATGGTGGCATACACCCGCTTGGCCAGGGATTTCTTGGTGATGAGGATGGACACCACGGCCTCAGCCCGGCAGTACCCGTTCCCTGAGGGGAGTGTGGCTGCTCAGGCAGGGCCTGCCTTGACGGCCCTGCCAGCCAGCCCCCTCCCTGGCTGCCCGCCCCTAGCCTCACCGGCGTGGTCAAAGGACTTGCAGGTGCCCTCAGGACTCAGCATGCCTAGCTTCATGAACTGCACCGACGTGTTGGGTTTCAGCAGCAGGTTGATGCCGCCCACGATGGCTGCAGGGCACTCCCCGCTGCGCACGGCCTGGAAGGCGCTGTGCAGGGCCATCAAACTGGAGGAGCAGGCTGTGTCCAGGGCGATGCTGGGCCCTGCACCGTGAGGACCTGGCCTGAGTGCCCTGCTGGGCACCCAGGTACCGGCAGGGCCAGGGGAGCAGGGAGGCTGCAGTGTGGAGACCTTAGCCTGCTGGATGTGGGCCCGTGGAGGTGCTGGCAGCCTGGCCTAGCCCCCTGTGGCTTCCCTGCGGGGCACTCATGGGCACGGCCCCAGGAGCTCGCTGCACTCACCTTTGAAGTTGAAGAAGAAGGACAGTCGGTTGGCCATCATGGCCCGTTGGCACCCCACCATGCTGTAACCCACCAACGTCTCGGGGTCCCGGCTGAGGGCCTCCGCGGCCTCGGAACCACTCACGCCCACCCAGACGCCAGTGCTGGTGCCGCAAAGGGAGGCTGGGTTGATGCCTGTAAGAAGCTGAGGTTAGACGCCGCTGGGGCTGGGCAGCGCCCACGGGCGTACCCACCCACCCACCAGGGAAAGGCCTTGGGGAAGAAGCAGGTGTGAGTGGGCAGTGGGCCCAGCCTGTGTCAGGCCAGGCGGTAAGCAGTCCAGTTGGGGAACAGAGAACAGGGCTGTGAAGGAAATGGTGTCGAGAAACCAGAGGGGGCTGCAGGCCTGGCTGGGCCCTGGGGAGGCGGCCCTGGGGAGGACAGAGGGTGGTATTGTCCGAGCAACTGCCCAGGACCGGTGCTGCCGCAGGAGGCCTCAGGAGCCCTGCTGGCCAATGAGCGTGTGCACTCCAAGGGCAGCTGTCCTGGGAAGGCCGTGATAAGGGGTCGGGGTTGGAGGAGACAAAGGCCGAGTGTCTTGGCTCAGAAGAAGAAGATGAGGCCGCCTGGGGGCTGGCCCTGGGGAAGAGCCACAGGAAAGGGCCTTGCCTCCGTCCAGATACCAAGGGAGCTTCAGGTCCAGGAGAGGGGACTCACTCGGGCTCAGGGCCGCAGCCTCTGCCCAGGATGGCCTTCCCTGTCACCGGTGGAGACAGCCCCTCACCCAGGCAAGAACCCTGGGCAGAAGGATGGCAGCCACGAGGTCCCAGGCATCGCTGTGACCCTGCTGCCTGGAAAACCCTCAGTCGGGTGCTCACGTACCACCCTGCCTCCACCCCGAGGTCCACATGGTGGGAACAGGGAAACCAGGAGGCCAGGACCCGTCCAGAACACCTTGGTGAGCGGCAGAGCGTGGCCCAGCCTGTGGCTGGTGGGACACGTCAGGAAGGTGGCAGGTGAGGAGCCTGGGAACCCCACAATGTCTGTACCCCAAAGGCTCGGCTGAACATAGGTGCTCAGAGCCACCCCCGCTGAGCACCCAGACACCCACCTGCGTCCACGATGGCTTCGTAGGTGACTTCCAGCAACAGTCGGAGCTGAGGGTCCATCGTGTGGGCTTGCTTGGGGTGGACGCCGAAGAAGGAGGCGTCGAACTTGGACAGGTCCTTCAGCTTGCCTGACCGCTGAGGCAGGCCGTAGAGCCCTGGGGGAGGGCACAGGCTGGCTCTGTGGGCCTCTGGAGGCTCTGACCCACCCGTGGAGTAAGGAAGGCCGGAGTACGCTGTCCCATTGGGCAGCATGGGGACCCTCCCGGCCCCTCCTCAGGGGCCCTACTGTCCCCTGGTATGGCCCCAAGCGGGGTGCAGGTCCCCTTAGGCTGGCTGGAGACCCTCGCTGGCCTGCCACTCCCGGCCCCATCGCTGACTCAACAGCTACAGATCAGGTAGGGCCACCTTGGCTAAGGCGGGTGAGTCAGCTGGCTTCCTGAAAGTGGGTCTGAGAGTCTTATCTGGTGACGGTTGGGACATTCGGGTCAGGCTGGCCCAGCCAGGAGGCCTTCCCTCCTCTGGCTCTGGCCCTGCTCACTGGGGCACCCGAGGACCCTCCCCACCCCCGCCCACCCCGGGTGCTCCCAGCAGCAGCCCTGCCAAGCAGCAGGTGTTGGGGTGAGAAGGGGGCCACCCACCGGCTTTCCATCTCCGGTCATCGTCTGTGACCATGTCCACGCCGTTCAGCAGGTTGTCCCAGAACTCCTGCAGGTTTTCTGACTCGGGCAGCTTCCCGGACATGCCTGCGATCACCACCTCTTCCATGGCTCCGTCTGAGACAGGGCAGGCGGCTGTGAGGGCCTGGCAAGCCCCCACCCCCCTCCCTCATCGCTCTCCTCGGTCTCCCCGAGGCTCCCTCCCACCCAGAGCCTCCCACCTGGACCTGGGGTTGAGGAACAAGGAGCAGGGCTCCCAGGGAAAGCGAGTCCAAGGCAACAGCAGGGTCAGAACTGACAAGAGCAGGAAGACCTGCCCATCCCTGTCTCAGCTCCCACGGGTCACCCCACGGGGCCCTGGCCCCTGACCTGCAGGCTGAGCAGGCTCCTGCCAGGGCGAGGACCCGGGGGACTGGCCTGAGTGGTCCGGTGCCAAGGCAAGGCAGGGCTTTCGGGGAAAGGTGGCCCCTGCACCCAACCAGACTGACCCAGCCAGTCTGGCCCCTCCGGCAGGGTCCACCTGACCCGGACACTGCAGGTGGGACCTCAGGCTCCTGGTTTGCCGCCTGGCCACATCCCACGGCAGGAATCGTTAAGACTGAGATTGAGGGTGTGGAATGGGGCTCCCACGTGGCTTACCCAAGAGGACCCCAGAGCCTGATCCACTCAGGAGGGAGCAACACCAAGGGTGGTGCAGCAACTTCCACCGGGACCTTAGGGGCTCAAGGGGCAAAGCCCTGGACAGCAACACCCCATGGACCGGCCCTGCCGGCTTCGCCCCACCCCACCCCCACCCCGCCAGCCTCGCCCTCGGCAGCACCCCCACCCTGGGTTCGGCGGTTCGCGGCCCAGACGCCCGGAGAGGCGAGGAACCGACCGATGCCTTCAGAAGCACCTCCCCGCCTGCCATTCCGGCCGGAGGCGGCCGGCGCCAGCCATGCGAGCCGCGTGGCGCGGCTCCCACGTGACACGACCCTCTCGGGCCCTCCCCGGGGTCTTCGGAGAGGCTGCCCCGGGCCCGCGGCCCGGCTCAGGGCTGCACGGCGCTGGCTCCATGCCCGGGGTCCCCAGGCCAAGATGGCTGTTGGGGTCCCGCGCTGCGCGCCTCCATCCGGGGCCGGCTCACCTGCCGCGGCAGCCCCGCGGGTCGGGCGTTGCGACAACGGGCGGCCGGGCGCCGGAGCAGGAGGGATGGCGGCGCTGCCCGAGGGGCGCTCGCCGGCGGCGGAGGCCGAGGGTGCCCTCGGCCCAGCCCCGCCGCTGCCTGAAGGTCCCGGAGCCCCGCGCTCGGCTGCCTGTCTCCCTCCCCCAGCCGCGGCTGCCTCCCCGTCCCGCCGCCTAGCGGCCCCCGGCCGGGCTCCATCGTCGCCTGGGCCCGGCCGGGCCTCCAGCCTCGTGGTCCCCGGCGTCCCGAGCGGCCGGCTCTGTTGCCGGCTCCGTCCCCGGCGCCCGGGCGCTGGGCGCACCCCGGCTCCGGCCCCGGGCCAGGCTCGTACCTGGGGCGCGACGGGTGCGGGCGGCTGCGGGCGTTGGGCGCTCGAGGCGGCGCGGAGGCAAAGGATGGGCGGCTGAGGCTGGCGCGGCGGTGCCGGTCTCTCTGGCTCCCTCTAGCGCGGCGCCGACTCTATATAAAGTGCGGCCATCCCCGGGCGGCCACGCCACATGGGCTGACAGCTTGGCTGCGCCGCCCAGGCCAATGAGCGTCGGGGCTGCGCCCCCGGGCTCGGCGCGCCGCGGAGAGTGGGGTGATCCCCGTGCGCGCCGCCGCCGGGACCCTGCGCGGGCGCGCGCACAGGCAGGGGCCGGGCCACAGGCAGGGGTGGTGGTGGTGTATGGGGGCGGGGCCTCGCTGCTGGCGCCCCGCCCCCCGACTTCCGTCCCCGCCCCCGCAGGTTGCATCTTCTACGCCCCCAGTTGCCCGGGGCGCGCTCGCAGCGCCCGGTCCCGGTTCGTTGCAGGCCACCACCGCGTGTCCGCAGGGGCCACGTGTGCGTGGTCGCCCGGCGGGGGTCCCCGGGGGCCGAAGCGTGCCGAGGCTGCACTAAGGCCGCAGTGGGGGCGCAGACCGCGCAGGGGCGAGCGGGCACCGTCCCCCACCCGAGCCCACCAAAGCGCCGGCGGCGCAGGAAGCCATGCGGCTGGCCGCTCGGGGCCGGGGGGCGTGGCCTAGGTGCCCGCCGCGGCCAATCGGGCGCCGGGGGCGTGCTCACCGGCCCAATGGCGGCGCGCGAGAGGGCGTTGCTAGGCGATAGGGTGATGGGTTGGGGGCGGGGGCGCCGCGAGGCGCGGGCCCGAGCTGCGAGCGCGGTCATTGACCTGGCCGAGAGCGCCCCGGGCGGGGTTACTGCAGGTCACCGCGTTGCGTTCTTCTTGCGTAGCCGGACCTCGTGGGCCGTCAGACGCCCACCCCGCTGCCCGCCGAAGCCCCGTTACACGGAGAGCCCGGCGCCCCCTCCCCAGCTGCCGGCCCTGGGAGGCCGGCTGAGGGCCCAGACGCTCACTCAAGGTGGAGCGGACAAAGGAAGCGCCCCCTGGGCCGAGGCTTCGAGTTTTGTACACTTGTGGTGCATGCACTCACACACGGCTACACAAGTGTCCACACAGCACACATTTCCACAGTGCACATGTACCCACTCAGGAATACACACACGACATGCTTGCACACATGCACCACACATACACACATGGGTAAGCACAAGACACCTGGGTGCACATATCATCCACTCACCCACTCGCTGCACGTACACATCCCTTGTACGTGTGGACTCAGAAATACGGGCACACACGACATTTATGTGCACACGCACCACACACATGGATAAGCACACAGCACCTGGCTGCACACACCATCCACTCATCCGCTCACTGCATGTGTGCACACACCTTGCACATGTGCACTCATGTATATGCACGGGCACACACAATGCATGTGTGTGCACATGCTTGCACTCCTACCCACACATGCACTCACATAAGAATACACACACAGGCATGCACCACATACACACAGGCACTCCCACAGCACATACGCACACACCCTGGCCTGCCAGTGCATTCATGTGGCGGCTCACTAGCTCGCCTTTCCTGGTAAAACGTTTGTGGAACTGCCCCGCCCACAGTGTCCTCCAGGCGGAAGGGTGCCCACCAGGCCAGTCCCGGTGGATGGAGTGGCTGGCGTCAGGGCAGCCCCCTTGGCTGCAGCCTCTCTGAGGCTGCCTCTTCTGTCTTCAGTCTCAGGATGCCTGGGCAGGAGAAGGGCCCAGGTGCCAGCTGGTAGAGTGCTCCTCACGCTGCTGGCTCCAAGCCCTCCTGCCTCCCTGGTGCCTGTGGCCAAGCCCAGCCACGTTGAGGGGCAGAGGACACAGCTGCTCTCCCCGAGGCCGGGCGCCCTGCAGTCGGCTGGCCAGGTCATGCTGCTCCACTCCGGTCCTGCCCTCGCTTTCTGTCCCTGGGCCAGAAGAACAGAGGCAGTGCCCCCACCAGCCCCTGTCCAACACCTGGATTTCTATCTGTGCTTGGGTGGCACCCCCGGAGTGACCTCTTGTGGTTCTCTTCACCTTTTGGTTTCTTGGGGCCTGATGCTCTGGGGCCAGGAGCTGGCCCAGTATGGCAAGTCCTGGGTTCTGTACCTGCTGCCCTTGGCCCACCTGGGGGCTTACACTAGAGAAGGGGTGCTCGGAGACACCCCTATGGAAAGAGACAGTTACCTGTACTGGTTCTTGGGCTAAAGGAGGTCCTGGTCCAGTTCCCTGAGTGCTGCTGCAGGCAGCTAGGGAGAGGGGACAGAGGAGGACAAGGAGGCCTCTGAGAACGGCTCTCACCATGGCCACAGAGCAGACCGAAGCAGGCGCCAGGGACAGGCAGGTTAGTCAGGGCTGCTGCTGGGGGAGCGGGTGTGCCTTGTCCGTGTGGGGGAGAGAGGCAGCATCTGCACCCAGGGGCAGTTCACCGCCATCCTTTGTGGGGGTGGACAGCAAGGCACTGGGCGAGGGGACAGCCTCCTCCACACCGAGGGGCCCTGACGTCACTGCCCAGCTCAGAGCAGCTCCAGCACAAAGTTGCCAAGACCAGACAGCCAGGGCCCTGTCCGTCTGTCTGTCTGTCCCAGTGGGCATGGCTGACCTCAGTGAGGCAGGTGTACAGTGGGGGTGGAGGGGCCATCATGCAGAGGCCGCCTGTGAGGCACCCTCGCCCTGCCTATGACCCAGAGAGTAGATGGGGCTGTGGGTGGTGACACAGTGGCAGCGGCTGGGTCAGGGCCTGCCCTGTTGGGAGTCCCTCTCTCTCACACACAGACACACACACACACAAACCGATGCTGTGTTTCCCAGGTAGGACAGACAAATCCCTGGCCCTGGGTGCTCGGGCAGGCGCTTTAATGGCCCCTGGCCTGACCAGGCCACCCAGCCTTGTCCACAGCCTAATCTGCAGCACCACCCCCACCCCCCACACAGGTGCCACTGAAGCTGACAAGGGAACAGCTTGGTCCCTGAGTGCCATCAGGCTTGTGCTGGGGTCCACGGCCATCAGGGAAGAGCTCCAGGCAGTCAGTGCTTCTCGCTGTAGTTCCGGACCCTGGGGGGCCGGCAGTGGCCTCTGGGTTTTGCGGCATTCCGGGAGGGTCTGGTGGGCTTGCCCTTGGGCTGTGGTTCCACCTTCCTGCCTTCGATGGCCACCCTCCCCCGTGCTGTGGCGCAGCCCTGGGCGGGCTCTGGGCTGCCAGCTGCCTCGGGTGCTCGGTGGTGTTCTGCCGCAGAGAGGAGAGAGGCGTGTCAGTGCTGAGGGCCGGAGGCCTCTGCGTGGACGCAGGAGAGGCCTCAGTGAGCACACGCGGCCTCATCTTGCTCGGTGGCCTTATGTCCTGGCCACAGGCCTGTGCCTGTGTCCACATGCCCTCTCAGTGGCCCTTGCTGGGCCAGGGCCTGGCCTGTGTGCCAGATGGCTGGCCTGCCAATGCTGTTTCCTGATGGGACCATTGGAAACTGGCCCACAGAAGGTGTGGTGGTGAAAGGCTATTCCAGGCCCCACCTCTGAGGCGGCTTCCAGCTCTTGCCACCTGCGTGCTGTGATAAGCCCTGCCATCCAGCCTGTCCATGAGAGGCCTGCTGGCCACTGACCTGGGAGGCAGGGCTC